GGGCCATAAGGTACCACGACCTCGGCCTGAAGCAAGAAAAGGAACCGAGTAGTTTATTATGCTCGCACTAAAGTAAAAATAGTAACATAATGAATAATGACTCCATCACAACAACTTACACCAAAACATAAGCATCTCAGAATAAATCAAAACACAATTTAGAATAAATTAACGTAAAAAACAACTTAATACAAACTTCCGACAAATTACTGTTTCATATTTACGCTAGCGATCGTGCCTGACTTTGTCCGATATATATTTTCCTTTATATTTTCCGATACCTTTTACTCTATGACAGGTTACAGAGTGCAAAACACAAGTAATAAGCTTGTCAAAATTTTGATATAGGTTCAATCGAGCGAAATTAGCTCGGACAGGTAAATATGTATCGAAATATTACAAGTAAATAATATATATTGATCTCGGTAAATATGACGAAATTTATATAAGCTTCAATATTTCATTTCGTTCTTATTTATTCGAGTTATACACATACAGACATCAATATTAGACGTATCATGAGAATGTAAATAGCTTCGAATTAATATTCTGTTCGCGTGGGAATTTAGATGTATGAGCAACATACGCAAAATATTTTGATCCTAGTACTTAGTGTAGTATATGAAGGGTTCCATATTGAGCCACTTGATCCCTAATTAAGTAGGGCCCTCACGTACGCACCTCTAAAAACCTTTGAATAAGAGATGCCTAAACCCACACGATCATAGTTTTGTTCCAATGTCATATAAAATGTTTTAGGAAAGTCTATTACTTATATATTGAAATAAATACAGGAAAAGCAACTCTACCATTTCAGAATTAGATTTGAAAATGTCGAATTTAATTGAGGTTCAGCCTACGCACAGACAGATAAATGTCGATTTTAAAATAGATTTGTCGTAACAGGACTGTGTTGGTGTAATTTATAAAGGCAGTTGCATGTCAGGTTCCAGTTTCGATCTGGTGTAAAAAAATGTTTTTGTCTTATTAACATTTTAGTATTATTATACTGCGGTAGATATATTGTTTTATTTAGTTATGTTTCGAAAATCAAAACCTCTCGATTATTATTTAATTCACCGAATTATTTTTCGAACATATCTATCTATCTATACTACAAAAATATTTCCCATTTTTATAATTTCCGTAGGCGAACAAGAATGAGTGCGAACTTGCGAAGTATAAACTTATAAAGGTCAATATTTAAATACTTGAGCCGCTCTAACTTTTGATATTCTAACTTCATTTTTTTCCGTAATTTCGCCGAAATACTAAAAATTGATTTTAATTACGTCTGCCTCCTTCGAATTGGGTTTTGATACAAGCAACTACGAGCATCTTCAGTTAGAATGACAGAATGACAGACATATTCCCAAAAATGTCTGAAAATTGTCTCTTTGAAACAGCTTCGACTTTGACTGACATCAAGTTCATTTCTGTAATAACAATATGTTTAATTCACCACTGAATTATGATCCAGACTTTATTATTGTTAGCTGTTTTTATTATAATAAGTAATCAGCGCCTTTGGTTGATCTTTGAGATCGCCTGATTGTTATCGATTTCAGGATTAAGCAAAATACTCTTAGGTGTAAGTAAAATATTTTATACAATACATTTGTTTCTGTTATTAAAAGAACGTTGAACTAGAGATCTAGAAATAAGAGATGAGATTTTATAACTTACCTACATAGTACATATGTACTAGTTAATAAACTCAGTAACCATACGCAGTACACAGAGTAGACAGGTTTAAAAGCCTTGTCCATGTTTTATGGAACATTTAACAAAGGTAGCTTTTTCTCTGAAGGCATTTAATTTACGTTAGAACAGTAACATCAAATGAACTAGGAAATTCGTTTCATTGTCTCTCTTACTTTTTATACTGTTGACATCATTGCGTTTTATTGTAAATTCTTATTAGCAGTAAGCAGAGTTATGTTTCTGCGACGGTGTGTTTATTTGGAGCTGTTAGTTATTTTATTCCTTTGTCATCAAGGTTAATGAACTTTGAATTAGCAATCAACCTGGTTATCAAGAGTATCGTTCTTTGTGACTTGAAATAAATAAAGAAACTGTGTTTGAATTGATTAACAACCGAAACTAAATTGGTTTCTTAAAAAAGACTCGAAGAAAGTGTTTGATCTCATTCTTTTTCTAATTTTCTTTTCGAAAAGGCTCCATTGATCGTGGATAGAAAATTGTTATTTTTTATTTTAGGCTATTTTTTGTCAATTTCTTTCCTTTTACGGGAGCACAGAATCCCGGAAATTTGGAGTACCAGGGTCCGAAGCCAACTCGCCCGTTAAACAATCCAAATCCAAACTAATATTATAAATGCGAAAGTAACTCTGTCTGTCTGTCTTATCTTCACGCCTAAACTATTGATCCAATTTCTGTGATATTTGATACAGACATAGTTTGGAACTCAAGAAAGGACATAGGATAGTTTTAATACCAAAAATCTGCAGGAAGTCACTATTCCACGCGACCGGAGTCGCGGGCAAAAGCTTGTTTTAATATAAATGTTAATATCATTATGATAGTTTCTAGATTGCAGGCTGAGATGGTTATTTGTGTCGCACGCTTGAAGTAAGCCGATAACAGTGTTAGGTTTCATATGACTGAGTCTGTTGCAATTTATATCAAAACTACTCCGTTACAGATAACGTTATATACACTGCAATAGCTACAAGTATAAAAAATCTAACAAATGATGCTAGACTAAATATTTTAATTTTTTAAATTTATCATGTTACGTTTCGTGATAATTTCAATTAGAATGAACTTATCTTCTACGCTCACATTTTTTTTGTTGGTTGGAAATAATCAGTCCTCCAGCTCTGGGTGGGGCGAGAGGGAGTGTTAGGTTCTTAATGACTTAAAACCACCCCTTCCTATTCCATGCCGGGGCCACGGTATACTATCGCGCTTGACCTGCAACGCCGGCTGGCAAGATATGTTAAAAAGCGATATACTTATTTTGTGTTATGTAGATTTACCTAGAGCTAACAAACTACAGAAAAACAAGGTTGTAAGTACATATTATGTATGTTCATTATGTGTCGTAGTTACAAAACTACATAGATCTCTGCCCTTGTCCACATTTCTATTTCTATTTGAAATTCACGTCAAAGCCAACTAATTAATATTCAATCAGTATTATTCGCAAGGCTGTCTTCAAGTTCTGTCACAAGTGTCTAACTTTGGTCGAAGCCTGTCCGGAGTGCGACTTATCTCCGAATCTCCGGCTTTAGCAGCAATTTCAAGAGGTTTTAGAAAATCTGTAGCACCTAAGAACCTTTACCTTCTTCTTTTTAACACTATTGATCTAAAAATGGAGGTAGACCAAGGTAGGTCTGATTTAAATGCGATGTTTTTAAAATAAGAACATTATAACATTTAATTTGCATGGCAAACACTCTGATACGTTGTTAAAAATATAAGTAACAATAAGATTGACGAGTCGACTCAGCAAACGCAGTAACCTTAATTCAAACACATTATACAATTCGAGCAATCTCCTCGAAATTCATACCAAGGTTCCGCAGACCTTACATAGATTTCAATTTAACGGAAACTACATAAGAATTGACCTACATTATAACATTGAGGGAATACCGATAAAATGTTGCAAATTAACGAGTTAATTTCATCCGAAATAAATGGCAATATTGTTTCCAATTAGCGGACACGCACAGTTTAATTCTATTAATTAAACATGAAAGCAATCAATTTCCGTATTGTTAGGCTGTATAGATAAATAGTCAATTGATTAGTTTTCAATCGCAATCAAAATGACTATAGAATTACTCAAAATCAAAATGGATAGTTAGTTCGAAATTCCTATATATTCTGTGAGTTCGCCGCAGCTTTTAGAACGACCATAGTAATAAATTATTTGTCAAGACAAGAAATGGAAATCTGTTGAAAGAAAATTGTCGAAGTAACGAGAAATAAATTCTGCTTTTCTTAGCTATTTCCTTGACATTAAAGTTTTATTTATATTCTGCTATTATTTGCTGGAAATTCTTGAGTTCTTTTTTTTTTGTAATACCAAGATGCTAAAGTTTTGTTAGTTCTATTCTTTTTTGTAACTTCAAAGACGGACAACTACTCGGTACTAATAAGAACATTCCTTACAAAAAAGTGAAAGATTATTTTTTTTAAGAAATCTATTCGAAATTGAAATAATGGAACACTACAATAAGATGTCTATTTAAATTTTAACGTGAAGCTATCTAGAGGCAGTTGCTATTCGTAGATTCAGTATTGAATAATAAATAAATAGAGCGGCAGTTACGGAGCGCACGTGGGCGCACGACTTGTATTGTCCACCCACGGTACACTGCACAGCTTGCACGACCATTTTTATATCATTTTGCGCTACTTCTGTCTTTATTGTCTCCATGTTTATCTAGGTTATGTGCTAGTATTGACTCGACCACTCCGATCTGCCCTCTTTTTCAAATGACCTTTCCTAACACCAACCCACACGATCCTTTCGTCTTTGTTTACCTAATATACCTACGTCACTACTCAGAATTCAAAGGATAGATTATTAATTCATGACGGCCTGAATACATCGCATCGTTTAAATTATATTGAAAATTAATTTCATCTATAAATAAATGAATTGGAAATTTCCTTTGAGAATTTGCGTTCAGTTATGAAGCTCGCGTCTAGGGATTAGAATTAATGTTTTATGTGTGCTAATTGTTGAAGGAAATGAGGTTATTGTAATCAGGCTGAGTACTCATTTACATTTTTATGTATGTAGAGATAATCTTAGACAGTTTATTTTATCTGTATCCATCTATACGTTATGCTACAGCTCTTGTGATCGAATGGACATATTTTGATAATATTCCATTTTTAAATACTCCTACCTTAGCTTTAATATTAAAACTAGTATAAAGCAGCCTATTTTTTGTCATTGAAACTATAAGAAGTATTTAAGATAGAGTAAAACCTTCATAGTAAAAATCTTTAGTGCTTACCTTGACACTTGGTGTCTTTTGTGACGAACAGCAAGAACGCCGTGATCGTAACTAGTCTCCAGCGTCGCCTCCCCATTGTTGTGATTAATTTTCACCGTGTCATTGATATCACACACACCACTAGAATGTTCACACTATAGTACATTGGAAGTCTGAGTTTTGATGAAAGCCATCTCTGGCAGTGGAGAAATGAAGTCTTCGCTACGCCATCCCGGTAGCTCTGTCACATCTGTAACAAACAAAATTAAGTTTTAATTCCTTGTTTACTTAAAGTTAACTTTTATTTGGCTTCGCTGTACTCAATCTGCTGAGGAAAATTGTGTCAGTGATTTTATGGGAGGCATGTTTATCTTTCTAAGCTATTATTATGACGCACCGTGATCAAGTAGGTTAACAGATTAATAAAAAACACACACATCTACCCAAGAAAAAAAAACAGTAACTAGAAATTTATAACTCATTACTTTCTTTGACTTGAATAATGTAAAGTACAGTTACAATTTAAATAAGATCAAACATTAATCCTTATTGTTATTCAAGAAACAAGTCTTATAAAGCCATAAATAAGCTTTAAAATTGAGTGGTGTACTGGTGTATAATAAGCAAACTTGTAACGAGGTGTCAGGTGGGGAGCAAACTTTACAGAGAGACCCCGTCAAGCCCCATCGAGCAGCGATACTGTTAAAGATTATTAGAACATTGTCCAACAGCAAGTACTGTCATGGAACTACAAACTTTATGTGAATGCTTTCGAAACTTGAACGAGCCTGAACGTGACGTCATGACCACAAAGATGGCCGATATCAGCTGTCATCCCATCGCCTTTGATGTTTTGATTTGACACTCCAGCGTGTTGATTCATTAGGCGCCCGGATTTAAGGCCTCGTTTGCTTTGACCCTCCTCTACTAGGCTGCTTTCCGATGTTCGGGTATGCCAGTAATTAATCAATAGACTGCAGTGAAAATTGGTGTCAAGTTATTGAATCAGGAACGAAATAGCCATTGATTGATTGACCAAAAAGGTTTACAATTATCGGAAATTTATAATTCGATGTTTGAACTGCTCTGAACGTGGTGTAACTGGTTGAATGTAAATGTAAAGGTGACAGCACGAATAAGGAGCGACAGGACGGAAAACATTCCAGCGAAGCACTCGCTTTAACGACCTGATACCAACATTAAGAACCGGAAAATATATATTTCCGTCTCTCAGGAGTTGCAAGGTGACATTGTAAATATTGCGTTAAATAAATTATATTTATCTACTAGCCTCTGTAGTACTCTGGCTGCTTTTTTCTTAAATTACACTCGGGAGAAAATATACCTACTTTTTTTATTTTTACGGCTGTTTTTTCTGCATCAACATTTTATGAAAAGGTTATATTTATTGTGTACTATATTTCCATTAGGTGTGCATTCATAAACTCAATGAAAGAGTAAAATGAAAATGTGAAGTTTTGTTACGAACGAATGTGAATTTTATAATAGAATTCTTCTTTCTTCTGTGTACTCCTGCTAATATACTAAAGGATTGTTGTACTTTTACGTAAAAAGTGTAAGAGATCTGAATGAAATTTGGCACATAGGTGGAATAAAGTTTTTAATAACTTGTTACTGGTACTGCAAAGTGCCTGGTAGGAGCTATTAAAGTCATAAAACATAAATATCAGTCACGATGATTAAATACAGTTATTTATCAATTGTAGATTTACAACAGAGTATAAGATCGGTGTAATGAGACTAATTAACGATTAATTACCGAAAACTTGTCCGATATGTAATAGTTGGGTGATTAGTGTCTCTTCTAGTTGTTCAACATCTTGGTTCGTATTATCGGAGGTAGTGAAACGTGTAGTGACGTCACGGCGCGTCACGTAGACACGCCGGCCGCGGCACCGGGCGCGTCGTGAAAGCGGCGCGTTCCGGCTCGTCAAACAGTTTCTCGTGAACACATAGATAGCCACATCCACGCCAATACACGGTGATGCGTTAATGTCTCTCTAATAATTCACGTTATCAAAAAACTAACTCGACAAATAACAATAGAAAGTCGCCAAATTTTAACGGAATTCGTGTCAACAAGTGTAATTAAAAAAGTTTGTTCTTTCGAAAAAAAACAAGTGAATAAAGCTCAGTGTTATTTTCTATAATGTTGAAATTTAATGAAATTCCACCTGACAGCTACGAAATTGTTTGCTCTCAGACAGTATATTAAACCTTTAAAAGATGAAAACTTATCTAAAGATTTAATGAGTGACTGTTAAAGAAAATTAACTGTTTTGTTTTGATTATACATACTTCGCACTTTTTTTTCAAACTTCTAAGGATGTTATCAGTTTAAGTCAAAAGGGTAAGAAATGTCGAAAATGAAATACTAGGCACAAGTACCTACTAAGCAAGTAACTAATATAGTAAGTTGGAATCAAAATTCGACTTGTGCATATCTGTACCCACTATAAACTCTACGCGCAAGGCTTAGAGACCAAATGCAGTTCATATATCTAAACGAAGCCTTTATAAAATCAATATTTTTCAAGCACAGACAGGATTTGTTCTTGAGTCTGCCGGTCGATAGAGCTAGTGGAAAAATCTTCTTATTTATAAACATGAATTGTTATTCGTTTGTCTTGCTAAAACTTGAGAATAGATGGACCGATTTGGGTAATTTTGGTCTTAAAACATTCTTGTAAGCCCACGAAAGGCTAGTAGTTCGTCGGTAGCTAGTACATAATAACTATGTATATGAACCTATTGTACAAAGACTAAAGCCAATTAAATAAATTAAAAAGTACTACCAACTCGCTACTGTAGGAGTAAAGTTTAATTATAACAAAGTATCGGTAAACTCAATGGATTTACAAGCTAGAGTTGTCTAACCTGACTTGAAAAGCCAAATCGGATACAATGAAGTTCTAATTGCGTTTTAGAAGACTCGTCATTCTCTATTCCAATATGGCGGACTCGGACTTATAATGGAAAAGTTTGAATTGGTTTTCAAATCGTACAATTTATTATAGATTTAGTAGGTATAGGATTTTGTCATGCTTTCGTTCATAGGTACCTACAGTCTGTTGAATGTTTGAAGGGGTTGTCTTTTCACTTTTCCTTCATTGTTTTAATCATAATAAGTGTATGTAGTGTGTTTGTTATCGCACCTAATGAGAAAATTTGAGATTATATACCCAGTTTGGTGCTCCGCCGAAAAGATTTCTATAGACGTCTGTAGGCCAGTTCAGGAATTGCTTCTTGATTAAAAAAAATGGCGCATATTTTGTTATTTACTGACAAAATTTGTAAACAACCTTTTAAATGTAAGAATGAATCCTCAAACTTCATTATCTTTGCACGTAGATTACACTAATTCGACAAGCTAAAATTGTCTTTTTATGTAAAAGTGCATAAAAATCTTATTTAAAAATGTCTACAATTTGGTATTTACAGTTACTAATAAAATAAATTTAAATAATTTTTGTATGTGAGATTGTTTACCTATAGTTAACCACCTAAATAGGTCGATAGGCCGCAGTAGTACATATTTGTATCTGGATATTTGTTCGGAAATATTTTGAACGTCACATTTGTCATTCATTAACATAGTTACGAATGTCGAACGAATGACATTCTGACACAAACTCATTGCCAAATGCCAATTACAATCTGTGTCAGGGCTAAATTAATAAAGTATTGCTTTTCTTTAAAGTATCGCAGTTTTTATATTTTATTCACCTATTTATTCCTTGGAAAATTTCGTAAATGTTGTTGTGGTGGATCGGAGACTAGGGCGCTCGTTTCTCATGCTAAGAGTTGAAGGTTCAAAATCTAGGAATCAGGCATGTGACTTTACTTTATTTGTAGGTAACTTTTTGTAGGGGGATAACTATCAAAAGTTAGTTAGAGGGAGTGACAGACTGAAAACGACCCAGTCTCTTTTGCTTCATTAGTGAGACACCACCACATAGAAGAAAAATAAGTAGTTTATTCGACCTCAGCCAGGTCGTCTGTCACATTGTAGAGAGAGGCTTGACACGGGGCACGTGGACAGGGGGCCTGCGCTGCTCCTCGCGCTCGCCGGGCGCGCAGCGGCCCGCTACACACAACCAGTACCCGTGATAGTGCCAGCGCCACACGTCACTGAACAGTCTCCCCATTTTCTCCATCGACTCCAAATTTTCCATTTCTTCATTGTTTTATCTCCTTCACACGAAACTGGTATATGATATATGATCTCAGCATATGATGAACGAAAATATAGTAAGGACATCGCAAATCCGCTTCGAACAAGCGTGCTGAGTAATGCTCATTTCTTCTCCGTGAGGGAAAGGGCTTTTGCTCAGCAGTGGGCAACTTTTGGCTATACGAAAAACCCTATAGTTTGCAAACTTTGACCATTTCATTACATCGGTTCCCTAGAGAATAGATTCTATAAAGGAATTTTAAACAAATTAATTTCAAATTCATATTTGTTTATTTAATATTCATGAAATTTGTTTTGTATTTTACGAAATGCGTACTTATTTAATGCCCGATCTGTTATGGTAATGTGTTTAATAAGAAAATGATAATTGAGGTCGTAGAATTCCAAATTCAAACGTTGTTTCCTATCCTACAAACCCGCGATTTCCATTTTAATTGAGAAATTATTTGTATATTATTTATTATCTTATTTACATTTTATTATTCGTCCCTATATTTTGAGCGAAGTGCGCATTTATATTTATTTTTAAATAATACAGAGTATTTTGATTTGTTTCTGGGTCATCGGAATACGGAGTGAGTATTTTTTTATTCTTAAATTGTATACAAAATTTCTGTTTCATTGTACAAAACATGCAAATGTATCAGTTTACTTTGAAACATTAGGTGCTATCAATATCGATATCAAAATCAGACAAACTTTATTCTTTGATGTATCTACGCAGTAACTTTTATTTTGAAAGTGACCAAACGATTTGTATATGACGTAGCAGTTACAAAATGATTATTTAGCTGATCAGAAGATTATTTTCTAAAATAAAATAACTTATTATATATTACAATACATTGGTAAATCGTGTTTGATTGTGATGTAAGAAGCTTTTGACTCCGAGCTGTTCTGATGTGATCTAATTCAGGACACAATGCCCTCATAAAATTAAGGGCTTCAGTAACTTAGTCCTTGCACTATGTACTTAGGTACTATTAGCTTATAAGCGAAATTAGTCATACTAAACATTTTTGAAAAACATCTCG